TTTCCATCAAGTCTATCAATTCACTGAGTACTCAACCTCTTCCTAATATCTTCCTAACTTCTATTTACTCCATCCCTAAAGATCACCTATAGGAGCCATGCATTCATTAGATTACTTTGTGTAGCTGTGACCAAAATATCTTACAAACAACAAAAACAGGAAAGAAGTATTTTTGGCTCACGGTTTTAGATCTACAGACTATGAGGGTAAGGAGGGGTTGATGGAAAGAGCAGTTCATATCATGAGGTCCAGGAATACTGGAAGAAGCCAAGCCAAGACATAGCTCCAATGACACCCCCCCATGACTACTTCCTACAACAGGCGCTACTTCTTAACTTTCAACCATCTACAAAAAATACCATATTAGGAATCCATCCAGGGATTAATCCATTCATTAGGTCAGAGTCCTCATAACAACTCCTTGAGATAAGCTTTATGAGTCTTATAGGCATCTCTAAATCTAGTCAAGTTTACCATGAGGATCAAGTTTCACAAACTACCAAACAGTTTAAGTGTCTTTTGGAGGAAAAGAGTAAATTTTTTTTCCTCAGATTGTCAAGAGGCAAATCATTTTTAAAAGTTCAGGAAGTTTTGCCAATCTCTCCCCTTCAAGCCTTTTCTAACCTGACAAAATGAACCATCTAAAATGCAAATATAAATAATATTTGTCTGCTTAAAATCCTTTAAAGGCCTTCAGAACATAGTATGAGCTCCCTAGAGTGGCCTTATAAGGTCCTTTCCTTTATAACCATCTCTCTCTGACTTCATTTGTTTTCTTCTTTAAAACCCTGGCAGATGATGCCACTTGGGATCACATACCCTGAACCTGTCTCTGCATTTTATTCCTTCCACCCAGAAGGACATTCTTCATGGGGATGGCAACCTCTAACTCACCTGTAAGACCCAATTCAGAAATCACTAACCCCATGACATATCAGCTAGAATTCACCACTACCTCTTGTCAGTGTTGCTGACATCCTTTGTACAGCTACCTTTACATTTACTACACTGTACTGTGAATCCTTACTCACTGGTCTGTCTTTGCACTTGACTCGAAGTACTGCTGAGGGAATATATAGTCATTCCTTTATATACTATGAATATTCGTTTATATATTCCTAGCATCTGGCAGAGTGCCAAACACTCAGTAAAAGCATGCTGAATTACAAATAAATTTAACTAATAAATAACTACAACTATAGACCACTTTACAATTCACATATTACATATTTTCATCTTTACAACAACATAGACAAGGGATGTACTACTGGGAGAGAGGTCTTGCCAAGGTCATAACTACAATTCACCATTTTCCATCAGTACTAATAGGCTGAGTTCCACAGAAACATCAATTAGAAATTTAGTTAAGCCCTGGCTCTGCCAATAACTCTATGCTTTGATAATGAAGAACCATCCAGCTGTCCAGATCTTGTGGTTTTCCGCTCTGAGGAAGGGAGACACACCTCTTATTCTGGCCCATTCCCATAAGTCAGGTTAACTTCCATTAAAAAAAAAAAATCAATCTAGTCAAAAGAAAAGGGAACCACAGAATCCTTGAATTTCTGTTTATGAGGAGAGATTTCTGTCAATGAGGATGACCTAGAGGTGGCCATAGAGTTTGGCTCACAGTAGACGGGCAATAAATCTTTGAATGGAAAAAAGGGAGCGAGGGAGAGGGAAAGCTGAAGAAGTGCCAAAGGCTTAGGCTGATAAGGAGAAACAAGAGCCCTGACATTTCTTACGGACTGTTATCATAGAAGGTAGAACAGAGTACATCCAAATTGATATGCCTTTGAAAATAAGATGAGCTGCTAGAAAAACTGTCAGATGAATGTAGTTTGGAAACAAGAAAGTACAAAGAGCCAGGCATAGGTGGCTCATGTCTATAATCCTAGCTACTCATGAGGCTGAGATCTGAGGACTGCGATTCAAAGCCAGTCCAGACAGGAAAAGCAGAGAAAATTCATATCTCCAATAAACCACCAGAAAACCGGAAGTGGTGATGTGGCTCAAGTGGTAGAGTGCTCACCTTGAGCTAAAGAGCTGAGGGACAGAGCTCAGGCCCAGAGTTTAAGCCAACAACAACAACAAAAAGTACAAAGACATAGACCTTGCAAATTACAGATGTTTAATGTTTTCTGAACAATTTTCTAAATTCCTTCCTTCTTTCCTTTCTTTTTAAAATCTTTGGCAGTGTTAGGGATTGATTCCAGAGCTTTGGGCATGACAGGCAAACACACTACCAACTAAGCAACACCTCAGTCCTATAATGTATTTTTTTTTTTTACAATGGATCTAAAATAGGAAACTACTAGCACTAATGTGAATTTACAAGGAATAAGACATTACTATACCAGGATAACCTAATTTCCTTTCTTGAAAAGGTTATTGGGAGGCTGGAAACATGGCTCAAGTAGAGAACCAGCCCTGGGTTAAAAAAAAATCCAAGCCAAAGTGTGAGATTTGGAGTTCAAGCCCTGAATATCTTGATCTTTGTTAGGTACCAGTAGCTTCTACCTGTATCCCTAGCTACTCAGGAAGCCGAGCTCTGAGAATCTTAGGTAGAAGCCAGCCTGGGCAGACAAATCTGAGAGACAATTATCTCCAATTAGCAAAAAGCCAGGTGGTAGAAAAAAGCTTGAGATAGAAAAAACTTGAGCAAAAAGGTCAAGTGATAGAATGCCATAATTGAAGCCATGAGTTCAAGCTCTAGAACTGGCATGAAAGAAAGGAAAGAAGGAAGAAAAAAAAGGGTAATTACCTTTTCCATTATTTTTGTTGTTTTCGTCTACCTAATCTACCTAGAGTGTAGCAAGGCTGCCATGAGTTAAAAAGAATTCAGAAGGGGCTGGGAAAGTGGCTCAGTGGTAGAGCGCTTGCCTTGCATGCATGAGGCCCTGGGTTCGATTCCTCAGCACCACATAAGCAAAAAGAAAAAAGCCGAAAGTGGCACTGGGGCTCAAGTGGTAGAGCGCTAGCCTTGAGCTGAAGAGCTGAGGGACAGCGCCCAGGCCCAGAGTTCAGGCTCCACGACCGGACCCCCCCCCCCAAAAAAAAAGGAATTCATAAGGGATTAACCAAATAAATAGAATACAAATTGTTTGCAACAGGATTGGTGTAAACTGATGGGCCTAACCCAGCCTACTGCATAGGCAGTAAAGTTTTATTGAAATGCTTGCATATCCATTTGCTTGTGCACTACCTATGGTTCTTTCTACCTTAAATGGCCACGCTGAGAATAAGTGGCCCACAGACCTTAACATGTCAATGGACTGGCTCTTGCCCAAGTTAGTTGAGTACTGATATAGAATGCTAAATATGAGTATTAACCTGGAGAGAAACATTAGAACACAAAGCTACAAAAAAAAGTTGAACCAGATAGCACAAGTTCAACTAGACAGCTTCATAACACTGATATTCTGTATCTTTCAAGCCCTGCCAGGATCCTGAAAGCAGAAAGAGGAAGGCAAGAATTCCCTCCCTCCTTCCAGGTATTGCCATCTCACAAATGCATCTCTGAGCTTTCCGGTGAGAATGCCAAAGAGAAGACAGAGCTCCTCAGGGATGTGGTGCTTGAGTGAGGAGCGGGCAGTCCAGAAATTGTGGCACCACAAATTAGGCAGAAAACTCAGGGCATATTTATTTGGTACTCAGGAACTTGTTTTCTGAGCATTCCTCGCTCAGTGTGGAATCCACAGAAGCATAGGTCATGGCCTCAATGTTGAACTGTCAGCTGGGGATGGGAGTAGGAGGCGGGGTAGAAAAGACATACAGGCAGGCCAGAGATCAAATAGCCACCCAAGCAGTCAAGATTTAGGGAACACTCAGAGTAGTTGAGGGCAGACTGCCATTATTGTCCAAGGCAAAAAGGCCTTTATGGAGGATCTAGCTACTATAATGAAGAATCATGTTTAGAAAGATGGGGAAGCAAGGAGATGATTGACCTTGACCTTGGCAGCAGTGCCAAATAGTGTTCTTCTCCATTTCCCTCAAGCTACTGATTGGAGAAATTTTCTCCTTGCATAGTAAAGACATCTTCCTGAAGGGCCTCCACAGCCTGATTTTCAACCAGTCTAGCCTCACTGAAAAGCTCTGAGAGCTGAGTGCATTGTTCCATTCTGCTTAATCTCTCTCGTGGTCCAGGTAGAACCCTTAGGCAGTCAGCAATGCTGTTTGTCTTCCAGGTATCAATGTCAATCCTAAAGAAACCATTGCCCAGCTGCTCTGCTGCTGGAAATCTCAGTCATAGTGATTCAGGAAAATGGACAGGAAGTGGGTACAGTCTGTTTAAGCAAAAGGCAAAAAGGAAAATACTCATTTCTGTATACCACAAAAACAACATGAGTTCTTCTCTACTTCATATTGTAATGGTCATTTATCAAAGGCCACACAGTCTGACTTCCCCAGGTACCTTCCTAGACAGATGCTGGGCCTTGGTACACAGCCTCTTCTGAAGTCCCAATGATCACCCACATGACATCCAAGAGGCACTGATGACAAACCCATTTTCCAGCACAGACCTCAAGATACTTTGTCCTGGATCACACAGTAAGATGAAGGGCCTGTCTCAGAGATAACATAACATACTGAAAAAGCAGCATTCAGAGTAGCATTTAGGGACTTCTAAGGCAGAGGAAACCAGTTAGGCTGTTAGGCAATTCTAGGACAGGGTAAGTCTTCAGGAAGTGAGAGCAAATCCACATTCCATGCAGTTGCCCTAATTCTTATTTCACTGAAGCTCGCTCCATTGCCCACTCGTCTGAGGCTCCCCTGGCTGAGGCATTTTCAGGAGAATACCACTTAAAATGTGGCCCACTCCAATTTGGTCATGAATTCAGGCTTCCATTTCTTTCCCTAATATGTTTAAAGTAATAAAATGTAAAGCCAGAATGACTGTGAAAGGCATCTGTTCCAAGCATTGTCTGTAGTCCTGGTACCCAGCAAAGCAGATGGACAGCATAGGAAAATAACTCTGGAGCACCTGGGTAGTCCATGCTTACCTTCCAAAGAATGGATTCCCTGCTCTTTGGCTGTCTTGTAGACACTGCTAAAATCATCCCCAAGGTTTGGATCAGCCCCAGCAGCAAGCAGGACCTGTACCACACTGGAAATAATCAGAGACCGAAGTGTTACATGCCCAGTTTACCTAGAAAACACAAAATCTTCATTCAACAATTATATATCACATGTTTACTATGTGCTAGTTACTACTAGATGCCAGGGTCCATACTCGCATGGAGCTGTCAGTTCGCCAGGAAGGAAACAATTAAGTATAAAATTATAGCAAAGTATGATGCAGGTTATTGTATGAGGAATGACATATACAGTAGCAGAATAAAGGAGAAGGTCAACAAAGGCTTCTCAGCAGGATGTCAACAAAATGGCAAAAGTTTCTTTGGATTCTGCCTGCCTGGAAAACACCTTAAAAGGGAGAAGGAATCCAGGTAGGCGATGACATAGCACAGAAATAAAGATGCACTAATAAGGGTAGAAGGACAGTTTTTCATTACCCATGACATCCCTACTGCCAAACCAAGCAATACCTCTCTATGTGAAGTGAGCACTGATTTTTCTTCAGACCTTAAAACCAAACCCATCCTAGTGAAATTTTAGTGCAGTCTTCTGTGCCCCAGATTCTAGACCAGTACCTGAATGCTGAGGCTCTTGATAGGGGAGGTTCTATGTTTACTTTGCTACTTGGTCTCTGCGCTTCCAACCTCAGTAGCCTTAGCTCTAGACTGGCCCCAAGGCCAAATAGCCCCAACATTTGAGAAATGATCTTTTTCTCTAATCCAGAACCAAGTTCTCCAGTGTTCTCTTGCATGGGGCTAGCTCAAACAGGTTAGCTTTGCCTTGTTCTAGCATAACCCCATCAGACTCAAGTACTGGGCCTGCCAAATTATTGACTCAGTTACCAGGTTATCTTGCCTGAGGACTCACCCACCCATGGACCACACAAGACGACCTACCCTGAATCTTTGGAAAAGACGACTGGTGAAAGTTTAAGTACTTACAGCTTAAAATGTATAGCTACAAAGATCTTGAAGAATCAGGGAAATCTGACTCCTCCAAATGAACAAAATAAAGGACCAGTCATCAACAATAAAGAAGTATAGATCCATGACCTGGCAAACAAAGAATTATAAATATTTGCTTTAAGGAGGCTCATGAAAGTCAAGAAAGAGAAACTTTTCTATTTTCCCTTCCTTTTATTTGCTTTTTGCTCAGCAAATCTATTCAATGGAATCAAGAAAACAAATAATGACCAAAGCAATTAATTTAGTTGATATAGAAATTATTTTTTTAGGGCTGGGAAGGTAGCTCAGTGGTAGAGCGTTTGCCTTGCATGCCTGAGGCCCTGGGTTCGATTCCTCAGCACCACATAAACAAAATAAAAAAGCCAGAAGAGGCGCTGTGGCTCAAGTGGTAGAGCACTCGCCTTGAGCTGAAGAGCTGAGGGACAGTGTCCAGGCCCAGAGTTTAAGCCCCATGGCCGACAAAAAAAAGAAATTATTTTTTTAAAAAATACTAGCTGGAGGCATGGCTCAAAGATAAGAATACTGTACTGCTAAAAATAAAATCGAATTCTACAACTGAAAAATACAATGAATAAAAAAAGAAATGTAAGAGCACAATCAGAAGAACAGATTAATAAAGGATCTTTTTTTGTTTTTTGTTTTTTTTTTTTGTTTTTGGTTGGTCATGGAGCCTGAACTCTGGGCCTGGGCACTATCCCTCAGCTCTTCAGCTCAAGGCGAGCACTCCACCACTTGAGCTACAATGCCACTTCTAGCTTTTTTCTGCTTATGTGGTGCTGAGGAATCGAACCCAGGGCCTCATGCATGCAAGGCAAGCACTCTACCACTGAACCACCTTCCCAGCCCAAGTATAAAGGATCTTTGAACTTGAAGACTGGCTATGTGAAATATACAGAAGAGCTAGGGCATTGGTAGTATACTCCAATAATCACAAATTTGGGAGACTGACATGGGACAATCCTAAGTCAAAGCCAGTTTGAGCTACACCAGTGAGTTCTGTGTCAGCAGAGGCTTACATGGGAGACCTTGTTAAAAACTGTGTTATGAGCAGAACACTAGTACCTCATATTTGTAATCCTAGCTATTCAGGAGAGTCAGATCTGATGTTTGTGGTTTGAAGCCAGCTCAGATTTTCTGACAGTAAAGTCCATGAGATGCTTTCCTCCAAATATTAATTTTTAAAAAAAGCTGGAAATGAAGCTGTGGCTCAAGTTGTGTGGTGCTGGTCTTGAGCAAAAAAGCTCAAGATAAGTATCCAGGCCCTAAGTTCAAGCCCCAGGAGAGACAGACAGACAGAGACAGACAAACAGACGGACAGATGGACAGACACAGACACACAGATGTACATTTCTTTTTTCTTTTTTTGGGGGGGTCTGGTCATGGGGCCTGAACTCCGGGCCTGGGGCTGTCCCTCAGCTCTTTTAGCTCAAGGCTAGCGCTCTACCACTTGAGCCACAGCGTCACTTCTGGCTTTTTTCTTTTTGCTTATGTGGTGCTGAGGAATCCAACCCAGGGCCTCAGGCATGCAAGGCAAGCTCTCTACCACTTAGCCACCTTCCCAGCCCATCTTTCTTTTTTTTTTACTTTTTTTTTTTTTTTTTTTGTCAGTTGTGGATCTTGAGTTCAGGGCTTGGGTGCTGTCCCCAAGCCTCTTTGTGCACAAAGGCTAGCACTCTACCACTTTATCCACAGTGTCACTTCCATTTTTTGAGTGGTTAATTGGAGATAAGAGTTTCATGGGGACTTTAATGCCTGGGCTGGTTTTGAGCAGTGATCTCAGCCTCAGCCTTAGATCTCAGCCTCCTAAGTAGCCAGGATTATAGGCATGAGCCACCAGTGCCTAGCACGATCACATTTTCTTCTCCACTGTAAGATGTACATACTTAAAAGTTCAAGCCATACTGAACCAAATAAAAAACAATGAAAATCTCCCATTATATCTCTCCCCTTAATATAAATTCCAAGAGTGTAAGTATAAGCTTTGCATGTGTATGTGTGTGTGGGGGGGGAGGATATTAGGGATTGAACTAGGGGCCTTGTACATGCAAGATAAACACTTTACCACTAGGCTACTACTAAATAGCTAAATTAATACTCATTCTCTGGTTTCTCTTCAGATTGTATAACTCTTTCACCTTTTACTAAATAGCTAAATTACCAAATAGCTTTTCTGAGACTAAGATTTTTTGTTGTTGTTGTTGGTTGTGGGCCTTGAACTCTGAGCGCTGTCCCTCAGTTCTTCACCTCAAGGCTAGTACTCTACCACTTGAGCTACAGCGCCACTTCCGGTTTGCTGGTGGTTTATTGGAGATAAGAGTTTCATGGACTTTCTTGCCAGGTTGGCTCTGAACCACAAGCCTCAGATCTCAGCCTCCTGAGTAGCTAGGATTACAAGAAGTGAGCCACGGGTGCCCAGCTAATTGGCATTCTTAAAAAGCCAAACTAGTTGCCAGGCCCTGGTAGCTCATGCCTGTAATCCTAGCTACTCAGAGGCTGAGATCTGAGGATTGCAGTTCAAAGCTAGCCTGGGCAAGAAGGCCCACAAGACTCTTATCTCCAATTAGCTCCAGAAAACCAGAAGTGGCACTGTGGCTCAAAGTGGTAGAGCACTAGCCTTGAGCTGAAGAGCTCAGGGACAGTGCTTAGGCCCAGAGTTCAAGCCCCATGACCAACAGAAAAAAAAAAAAAGCCAAACTAGCTCAATGCCAGTAGCTCATGCCTGTTATCTTAGCTAGACTAGCTAGATCTAAGGATCACCATTCAGAGATAGCCTTAACAGGAAAGTTTATGAGAGTTATCTTCAAGTAAGCACCAAAAAAAAGTTCAAAGTGGAGCTGTGGCTCAAGTGGTAGGGTGCTAGCCTTGAGCATAAAAGCTTAATGACATCCTCGGCTTGGGTTCAAGCCCCAGGACTGGCATCAACAGCAACAAACAAAAACAAAAATAGGCCAAACTAGGCAGGGCGGTGGTTCCTACATGTAATGCTAGCTCCTTGAAAGATAAACAGGGTTGGCCAGCAGTTTAAGGCCAACCTTGGCAAAAAGTGACATTATCTCTCAAAAAATAAGCTCAAGTCCGACACTGGTAGCTCACACCTGTAATCCTACCTAATCAGAAGGCTGAGATCTGAGGATTGCAGTTTGAAGCCAACCCAGGCAGAAAAGTCCCCATGAGATTCTTATCTCCAATTAACTACTCAAAAAATGAAGTGGTCCTATGGGCTCAAGTGGTAGAGTACTAGCCTTTGAGCACAAAGAGGCTCAGGGACAGAACCCAGGGCCTGAGTTCAAGCTCAATGCCCAACAAAACAAAAAACAAAACAAAAACCAAGTTGGATGTGATATTGCACAATTGTAATTCCAACTCCATAGGAGAATAACAGTCCCAGGCCAGCCTAGGCAAAAAGAGGAGAACCTATCTGAAAAATAAACTATAACAAAAACAGCTGCACCTGAATTTGAACCCAGTAAAGCCAAAAAATAAACAAAAAAGCCAAACTACAGTTTGTTTTAGCATTTATAACTAGTAATGCTGATGGCTTTCCATGTATCACTTGAATGTCATTATCTTCAATTGGCAGGGTATCCAAGTCAGTTATTGCCTAAACGGATGAATAAAATTCCTAACTTCCATGTACACAATACATAAAAATCAAAACAACCAGAATCCATCTCCCACATGATACAGGTTTTTTTTCTACCTGATCTAAAATAGTTGCTTAGTGAGATCCTAAAAGGATTTAATTTTTTAACATTTGCAGGTAAAATATGGAGTAAGAGCTCAACTAGAAATGAAGTTTCCAAGCAGCTAGAATTCATGTCTAAAACTTATATTTCATTCATATAAGTCTGCCAGCTTGGTCACACTGGCATTAGTGAAGAAAGGCATTTTATAATAAGCATAGAGAACCTGAGTCAAAGCTACATCATTCAATGATGATATAATCTGGGACAAGTTACTAGAAGCTGTGGCCTCATTCCTTACCAGAATAATACATATAGTATGAGGTTTCCTAGCAGGTTATAAGGGGAAGTATGTAAAACAGTGCCTGTTACATAATTACAAC